CACCATGTTCACAGAGGGAAGTGTTTTAAATTAGTGTCTTTGAGAATATTTCCTGGTGAGTTAAAGTAGATTTCTAAGGTAGTTGCTTTAAATGAATTTCTGTGCTCAGATAATTTATATCTTAGACTATGGAGAAACTTTTCAGATAGCCTTCATGAAATTACTGAGATGAAAAGGTGAATTCCAGAATGAGACTATTAAGTGTTGTCTATTTTAGGCTAAACACAGGAATGGTTATTAAACTGATATTTTTTGAGTCCTTTTGAAGGAAACTTAGTAATCGAATAAGGATGGCTTATCTAGGAGAAGTAATGTCAAACTTGATATTTTCTCAAGGGGGATGTTATAGAGAACAAATTCATCAGGGCATATGATGATGTCAAGATGAAAATATTTTTTTAATTGTTACATCTCTCTATGTGTGATTTTATGTTTAAATGCCTTTTGGAGATACTCATAATCAATTTATCCAACCAGCTCACCTCAAATATTGCTGAGCTGAGACTGTTCTAGCAATGTAATAGTGAAGAAAATGGACAAAGTTTTTATAAAACTTATGTTTTAGTGATGTAATACATAATGGAGAAGAGCTCTGAATTAAAATAGAGCAGGTTGAGGGTTGAGTGAGGGTGAGGGTGTTAATTTATATAGGATGATAAAAAGAGGCCTCTGATAAAATTGACCTTTGAGTATACTGTGTGCTTCACTTAATAGAATCACTGATGACTATGAACAACCCGTGACTGAATAAAATACAGCAACCAAAATCATCTGAAAATTATGTGGAACTTCACTATTACAGAGCATTGTTTCTGGTTTTCAGATTTTAAATTTGACCAAAATGGTATTTTATTGAAATGCGAAGCATTTAACTACAGAAGGCTATTCTGAATAAACCCTGATTCTCCATTTTAAGAGGAGTTTTTTGGGGGGATGTCAGAAAAAGCTAACTACAGAAAGGACAGTTTGGCCGACTTAAGGGTTCTAATTGAGCACACTCTAAGGAAACCATGGAGGTTAAATTCCTGATGACCAGACAGTAAACATTTGGGAGGAAATAGAAAAATGGAAGTGTTTCAGAAGTGAAAAAGGAATGCAGGAGCCCTGAAAATTAGATTCTAAAAATGTGTAGAAATTCTACCTGGGGCTGGGCACAGTGACTCACACCTGTAATCCCAGCACTTTGGGAGGCTGAGGCGGGCGGATCACCTGAGGTCGGGAGTTCAAGACCAGCCTGACCAATATGGAGAAACAGAGTCTCTACTAAAAATACAAAATCAGCTAGGCATGGTGGCACATGCTTGTAATCCCAGCCATTGGGAGGCTGAGGCAGGAGAATAGCTTGAACCCGGGAGGCAGAGGTTGTTGTGAACTGAGATCACACTGTTGCACTCCAGCCTGGGCAACAAGAGTGAAACTCCACCTGGAACAGACTTGGTGGAAGCATGAATTAGAAGAGTCTAAGACAAATGGAATTCCGCTATTTAAATTCCCTGTGTTACTTCTAGAAAGAAAAAATTGAGACAGTGAGTTCCAACTAAATGTCAGAAGTGTAAAACACAGTATGTAGATATCTAAGAATCTTAATGCAAAGGGAAGGAACTATTCTGTGTTAAGTAGGGGAAAGGAAGATTACTGGAAAGTAGTAGTTGACCACATAGTTCATTGAAGGACACAGGGCCTATCCTGGACTTGCATAACCCTAAGAGTGAGTGCCTCCGATTTTGCACCCTAGGTGCTTCCCTTAATTTTAGTCCTGGCCCTGCAGGGCACAGAGAGCTTAGGGTTCTCTTCCTTGGCCACAAAACTTCCCATCCCTCCCCACTGCCTCAACCTTTTCATAAAAACCTTTTCTCTGCTGCTTTTCCTTCCATAATTAAATATCAGAGATTTAAGTGGCAAATAGTGTAATAGAAAAAAAAATCCTATTTCTGAACTGTACCTACTTACAGGAAATAGGTCTATTCTTCCAGCAGTTTATCTTCTGACATGGATGATCCTCCATGGAAGGCACCAGAAATTAACCTGAGAAGTGCAAGAAACAGGATAGAGAATAGTTTCGTTGTGCATGTTGCATAGACAAGACATTACAACTTCTCTTTCTATAGAGGGGCACCCCAAAGCCAGAAGAGAAAGGCAAAATCAGGGTCAGGGATCATCCAGGAATGTTAGGGGTTAGCAGGTGAGGCACAGCCCTCCAGAAGTCCTCACCCAGTGATACAGCCCAGGTAGAGGTGGGTGGTCTGAGTTACTTGCTGGGTCATGACCCAGGCTTGAAACGGATTATTGTTCAAAAAATATGACAGGCAGATGGCATTATCTCTCAGTGCCCCTTGAGGTGTGCTGAGCCCAGGGCAGACTCTGTGCAATGGCTTACGAACGATTGGCAGGCAGTACTGTCTTGCCAGTGCATGGTAGTGCTGGACAGGAGTGTCTTGACAGGGACCCATGAGCAGGTGGAGCTAACTATCCATCGTAACACATCAAAGTTTGGTGAACAACTCTTCTTCTCCAACAACATAGCTACATGATTCTTATTCTTTCTTCCATTTTCTCTGTTTACTTTCCTTTTCATCCTCTTAATTCAGTCATGTTCCCCTCTACCTTTCCATCCTTGCTCATATCATTCTCCCAAAAGGAATGATGAACGGTGTGCCTCTCTTCCCCTCCTACCCATATCTAATTGGTACATCCGGAACCTCATATTGAGGTCTGCCTATTCCCTATTCCCTAAAGCCTTTGCTGATCTCTTGGATCACTCCTCTGTCCCGCAGACACATTGAAGCATTCCTTTGATGCTAACTGGGAGGCAATTAAGGTGAGTGAAAAAAGCTTGGAGTTACGCAGACCTCAGTTGGAATTCCTGTTTCCATCCCTGACGAGCTGTGATCTACAGTAAGTTAATTTCCCTGAGCCCTGTGTTCTCACCTGAAAAGTGGAGAATCAAATCATATCTTACCTTGCAAGTCTGTTGTATAATATATGGACATGTATATAGTGTGTAGAAACCCTTTAGGACAAATCCTGGCAGATAATAGATAACCAGTACACATTGGCTTATATTGTTAACTTTTGACATGCTGGAACTGTGAGCAGAAGTGAACTTAGAAGAGAGGAATCAGGAAGCTAAGATGGAGAACAAAGGTAAGATTGGGGACAGACGTTGAGGCCATGTATGAAGTACTCTTAAGAGGAGCAGTGAGAGACTGTACAAGCAGCTAGTGACCAGAGGTCAAAGCACAGATGTGACTACTGACTCACAGTGCTGGGATCAAGGAAAATATGCACCAAGTTTTCTTGGCTATGGTGTGGTAAAAAGATATACAGCAATGTTTATTGTATACTTTTTTTTGTGCCAGATCCTGTTCTAAGTCTCACTTAGTCCTCACAACAGCCCTGAGTCAGATACTAATAATTGTTCCCAATTTTCAGATGAGAACCATAAAGCAGATAGTTTAAATGACTTGCCTGAAGAAACACAACTAAAAAGTTGACACCAATCAACTGGAAACAAAGATGATTTATATACTGGAGACTCTCCTGCCCATATAAGCATCTAAGTTCAAATTTCTCAAGCTGAACATTTGCAGCCTTTTTCTATAGCACCCCCAATCCTGCCCGTCCTGACCACACTCCACCCACTTCATTATTTCACTTGAGGTGCTGCCATCCACCCAGTTACCCAAACTCAGAACCTGAAAGTCGTGTTTGGCTCCTCCTCCCCAGCCCTCTTAATCCACTCAATATCCAGGAACTTTCAGTTCTACCTTCTTTATCTTTTGAATTTGGTCATTTCTCTCTACAGACATGAGAAACCTAGTGGAAGCCAACAGTGTCTGTCGCCTAGATCACTACCGTAGCTCCCTCATGGCCCTCCTGCCTTCAATCTGGCCCCCTGTGCTGTTTTCTCCACCCTAGTTACAAACTTTTTAAAGCTCAAATACAGGGAATGACATAGTCATATTTGAGCTTTGAACCCTTCCTTTGGCATTCATTCCTCTCAGGATAAATTCCAAGCTCCTCAGTAAGGCATTCAAAACTCTCTGGAATCCTGTTTCTGTCTGTCATTAAGCCCCATTTCTCGCCGTTTCAACCTTGTTCTCGTGTTGCACCAAACTTCTTCTTGTTTCCTAAAAACAACATTCCTGGCTGATTTTTTTTTTTTTTTTTTTTTTTCTGGAGTTTAACACCCAGTCCTGGAGTCACCTCCTTCAGGAAGCTTTCTGTGATCCTACAAACTGGGTTAGATGTTTCTTTTTAGTGATCCTATATTCCCTTATGAATATTGTTGTCACTTCATTTTAAAAATGAACTTATGATTATTCCTGCGTCCATCTTCTCCACTAGTTGAGAAATTCTTGTTGAGGGAATGGACTGTTGAATTCCTAAGAACTAGCACATAGTAGGCCTTCAGTGAATGCTTCTTGAATGAATAAATAAATGACCAACTTTCCCAAGGTTACATTATAAGTTCTGAAACTTGAACCAAAATACATTATACTCTAGAACCCATGTTTATTCCACTATTGTATTTGCACATTAGGATGGTTAAAGTCCTTCAAGGGCTAAATTTTAAGGGGCTAAATACTATCATAAGGTTTTTCTTCCACCTCTTGAAATTGGTTTTAATTTTTCAGTAGTACATTCACATGACTCAGTAATCAAACGATATATAAAGATATTCAGTCAGAAGTCTTGTTCCCATTTTTCTCTTCCACCTTTCCAATTCCCACTTTCTCTGCCTCAAGGTAACCAATCTTGTTCATTTCTTACATCTTCTTTCAGTTTTTCTTTTTGCAAATGCATGCACATATGAAGCTATGTATTCCTCTTTACCCTCCTGACTTTTAGAAAGGTATTTTAAATTTTTTCAAATATCTCTAGTTTTTCTGAAGTGGGCATATATTAGAAAAAAGAGCTGCTCAGTACCCAGCTTGAATGAATTCACAGAGAAACTTAGAAGAGAACAGCTATTTAATGAGGGAGGGAGATAATCCTGCCAGCTCATTGGCTCCTAGGGATATGCAGGGTCCTCTAGGACAGAGCCTGTGGTGCGGGTATTGCTCATAGGCAGATTCTCAAGCTCCCCAAAGTTACATTTTCTCTGGAACTCTCCTAGGCCACTCCCCGCTGATGCAATATCTGGGTTTGGGCAGAAAGGAGGGTGCTTCCGAGCCCGCCCTCTCTGAGTTTCCTGGGCCGGCTCTAGAACAATTCAGGCTTTGCTGCAACTCAGACCTCAGCTCCAACATATGCATTCTGAAGAAAGATGGCTGAGACGGACAGAATGCTTCATTCTGGAAAGAAACAATGTTCTAGGTCAAACTGAGTCTACCAAATGCAGACTTTCACAATGGTTCTAGAAGAAATCTGGACAAGTCTTTTCATGTGGTTTTTCTACGCATTGATTCCATGTTTGCTCACAGGTAAGTATAAATTAGACTACATCCAATAGTTTGGGCCTTGAATATTGGTTAAGAAGGCCAAAAATACTTTCCCAGGGCCTGGGATTGAAATATGTGTATAGAATATCTTATGTCTGTTTTATAAAAGATTTATCACCTCCTAAACCTCTATTCCCACATCCCAAGAAAAAGGCGTTCATTCTGTTTGGAAATCTCTCTTCTTAATGTCCACAGAACAATCTAGAAAGAGAAATCATCAAAATAAATAAAAGCAGAGCTCTGTGAACTTTGTTATTTATCTTATCGTATGGTTTTAAAGAGTGCAACATAGTTCTGTCAGACTTTCTGTGTGTATCTTGGAGATGTTAACTATAAGAATAGATTTAAACAAAGATTCTAGCAAAATACACATGAATCAAAAGACGATTTGTGAGCTTAACATTGGATACAAGACTTAAAAAAATTGGATTTCTCTCCTGGTCATTGAATAAAAGGTACTCCATAGCATTCTAAAAAATATTTGGTTTGGGACGTTTTCCCTGCCAGTGAGATTACATATTTTCTCTGCTCCGCTCCTGGTTGCTTGTATCTACCTGCTTTAATGTCTTAAACTTGGAACTCTTTAGCCTTTGATGTTTGTTCATGTCAAATCATGTTTAAGAAAAACTTTTAATTTTGATACTCCAAGACACTAGGCACTTTGCAGTGTTGATGGGAGCCTTGAGTACTTTCTCTCTCTCTCTCTCTCTCTCTCTCTCTCCCCCCCCCCCCCCCGTGTGTGTGTGTGTTTTACACAGAATTAATTTAATTATTCTAGTTAGTTTAAATCAGGCAACAAATCAGTACTAAGACAATTTGCAAAGGTGTAAAACTGCCTTAAACATCAAATTTATGGTGTTTTTTCTTTAAAACCTTCACAGCTCCCAGTTGTTCAGCACATGGTGTCCAAATTCTGTTGTTTGTCTCTCATCACCCAGCATATTCAGGCCCCACCCTATATTTATTTAACCCTATTTCTCACTACTCCTTGAAAACAAATATGGACTACAAGCAGCTGCTGGCTTAACAGTCATCATATTATACCTTCATTTCCTCCTTCTGGCCTTTATTTGTTACAATTTCCCACCAGAAGCACCATCTTCAGTTTTTCCTTCTACATCTTTTCAAGACCTCTCCCTTCTTTGACCCCCAGGTACTTTAGCTTCAGGTGGTTACTTCTCTTTCCAGCACTGGCCTGGAGGGCCAGGGCCTGGGCATCTTTTCTGGTGTCCCCACATCCCCTAGCACAGGCTAAGCATGCTGGTTGTTTGGTTAGTTGGTTGGCTGGTTATTTAGTTGTTGGAACAAAACTGTTGCCAAGAAAACATCCCTCCACTAAGCTGAAATGAGAAGATGGGAGGGTGAATGAGAAGAGGAAAGCCCAGCATTTTTTGACTTGACATTTTCTTCAATGGCGCCAGTTTTATAAGTCTTTTCTTGAAAACTCCTGTTTTAAACAGATCTGGAGGTGAGTGTGCACTTCTGACACTTATACACTTACATAGAAAACACACACACACCAAAAAACCTCAGTGGCGAAATCACAAGGAGGTCAGCGCCAGAAAGACCTGTGTGTGAGTTTTGGCTCTGTCACTCACTAGCTCAGGACTCAATCATGTAACGTCAGTTTCCCTACCTGTGAAATGGTCATAATAGCCACTTTGAGGTTATGAGGGGTTAAATAAGATGACACAAACAAAAGCACTTTGAAGACTTCAACATTTCCCCACCCCCAAATGTTAGTTATTATTATCTGTTGGTTATACAGATGATGGTATCAGTAGATAATTGCTTTAGCTGAGGTTGCCTTTATGCAGTTTTGACCATTTCCTCTGGATTGTGTAGGTGCCTGTGATGAATTCTGCAAATTCTGAATGAACTTCTGTTGGTCACTAGATCACTGGACAGATGGGTAGAGTTGTGGATGTGTTTTTTTGTTTGTTTGTTTGTTTTGTTTTGTTTTGTTTTTGAGACGGAGTCTCACTCTGTTGCCAGGCTGGAGTGCAGTGGTGCGATCTTGGCTCACTGCAACCTCCACCTCCCGGGTTCAAGCAATTATCCTACCTCAGCCTCCCGAGTAGCTGGGACTACAGGCACACGCCACCACGCCCAGCTAATTTTTGTATTTTTAGTAAAGACAGGGTTTCACCGTGTTGGCCAGGATAGTCTCAATCTCTTGACCTCGTGATTTGCCTGCCTTGGCCTCCCAAAATGCTGGGATTACAAGCATGAGCCACCGCACCCGGCCATGGCTGTCTTTCATAGAAATCATTTGCCTTGTCCCGTCCCTCCCAAATAATAGTGTGTGATTCAGAAAGCTGATTCTGCTACCAATAGTAATAATAACAATGACAATCACAACTGCTATTTCTGAGTACACATTTTGCCTTAGGTTAGCAAAAATGTTCCTTTGACTTCTCACATGAATCCTGCAAGGTAGGTGTTATCCCCATTCCACACATTAGGGATAGAGACTAAGAGGTTCAGTTATTTGTCCAAGTACATCTATCTAGTAAGTGGGGGAATTGGGATTTGATGATGGTTTGGTCTGCTCCAGAGCCTGTGCCCTTTATACTTCTCTGCAGAAGAAGCTGAGACATTAAAACAAGGTAGAAGAAGGGAGGAGGGACAAAGGAAAGGAAATAAAGAAAATGGTGCTACCTTTTCTAATGCATTAGCCTTAAAGGCTGTTAGAGGTAAAGGGGGCAGAAGATAGAGGTAAAGGTGGCAGAAGAAGAAGATAAAGGGAGTGGACATCAGACCCCCTGAGCGTGCTTCAGAGAAGAGATGCAAAGATTTTTGCCTGGAAAGGTTGCCCCAGGGCTTTATGGTGGGTAGGCTTCACGCTACTTCCCTTGGACTGACTCACTCAAGGTTTTATGAAATAGGTGTTCGGCAGCAAAAAGGGTCTGATTTAAAAACGAATGAGAGTTGAAAGAGTTAGACCTAGGCTAATTTCCCCAAGGAAGCCAAAGCTTAGTTTACTTGTTCAACTTTCATTCTTTTAACACCGTTTATGTACCAGGTTCTGGGATGTGTGCTGATTGCAGAGATTTTAAAAATTTGTCTTCAGGGAGCCTAAGAGCCTGCTGAGAAGTACAGTAAAGTCTTTGACATTTGGGAATTTAACAAAATTTTAACTATTCTTTAGCCACCAGAAGTAAAATCTAAATCTGTGGTTCCCAATCTCAAATGCACATTGGAATTACCTGGGGAACTTTTTAAAAGCTAAATTCCGTGACTTCACAGCTAGAGATTCTGAGTTAATCTAGGGTGCTGTCTGGATGTTGGGACTTTTTCAAAACTCCATGGGTGGGGCTCCTTAGAGAAGTGATTGATTCCAGGACTGGGCAGGGAAAAAACAAGATGAGACAAGAGCATTTTGTGGTAAGTAATGAAGTGATTATAAAAGGATGAGGGCCTAAGTTTAACAGTTAACATAGTATCCTGGATTGGATCCTGGGATAGAAGAAAGACCTTAGTGGAAAAACTAGTGAAATTGAAATAAACTCTGGAGTTTAGTTAACAATAATGTCCCAATATTGGCTTTTTAGTTTTGACAAATGTTTTATGGTTACATAAGATGTTAGCATTCAGGAAGTTGGGTAAAGGATATATAGGAACACTGTGTACTATCTCTGCAATTATTCTGTAAATCTAAAAGTATTCCAAAAATTTAAATATCTATTAATAAAAATAACGTGAGTAAAAGGGGTGGGAACAAGTTAAAAGGACACAGGCAACTTGAAAGTATACCCATTGGCCAAAAGCTAGAACAATTTGAACAACAAAATAACAATAGTGTTGGACTTTACAGAATAAATTAAAATATCCATGAGTCCATACTGGTAAAAATAAATAATTGAATAAATAAATGGTGGAGGAGGAACAGCTCTTCTTCACAAAAGAATACAATTAAATAAAATATCACTACTAGAACATCACAGCAATAATTGTTACAAGAAATATCCATCAGTAGATGTTAAAATTAATAGGTGAAAGTTTGAGGAGAAATGGAATATTTGCACAGTCTCAAAGTATCTCCCCCAGGGTATTTATTAACTATACAGGGGAAAATGGTAGCTTTACAGTAGAGATACTTTCTTAACCAAGTGATCAGGGCAATTAACATCACCGGTAATAAAATGTATTGATATAATGTACTCCCTGTGAGTCTCTGGAAAAAATGTGTAACCTCAATCAAATCATGTGAAAATATCAGACAAAACCAAACTGAGATATGTTCTACAAAACAACTGATGAGTGCTCCTAAAAAATGTCAAGGTCGGCCAGGTGTGACTGTAATCCCGGCACTTTGGAAGGCCAAGGCAGGTGGATCACGAGGTCAGGAGATCGAGACCATCCTGGCCAACATGGTGAAACCCTGTCTTTACTAAAAATACAAAAATTAGCCAAGTGTGGTGACATGTGCCTGTAGTCCCAGCTACTTGGGAGGCTGAGGCAGGAGAATCACTTGAACCTGGGAGGCAGAGGTTGCAGTGAGACAAGATTGCACCACTGCACTCCAGTCTGGCAACAGAACAAGACTTTGTCTCAAAAAAAAAAAAAAAAAGTCAAGATCATTAAAAAAGACAAAGACAGACTGAGAACAGGTTGGAGGAGACTAACTAGACATGACAGTTAAATGAAAATCCTGAATTGGATTTTGGCAAAAAAGAAAGAAAGAAAGAAAGAAAAGCATTAGGAAAAAAACTGATGAAATTTGATTAAATACTGAAGCTTAGTTAATAATATTGCATTAATATTAATATCTTAATTTTCTATAATTGTGCTATGGTTATGTACATACGGAGGGCTGAGTGAAGAGTATATGAGGGCTCTCTGTATTATTTTGCAACTCTTCTGAAAGTCTGAAATTATTTCAAAATACAGTTAATCTGTTCATTATTTCACTGGGCTAACATCAAGGTATGGGCAGGACTACATTCCTTCTGGAGGTTTTAGAGAATCTGTTTCCCTCT